CCCGTGTGCCTCTTCTTGGCGGTGGGCGGGCCATTCGCCACCATAGCCGGCGGGGCGAGCGGGGTTTGCAGCGCGCGGCAAACACTGCCTCAGTCTGACCCCAGCCCGCCCTCTCTTCCAGTTCCCGCTGGGAGCATCTCGCTCTCCAGCGAGCCGCCGCGATTTCGCAGAAGCGCGCGCCTCGCGCAGTAGAAGGTAGTGCAGGACCAGCAGGGTCTCGCACCACTATCTGGCGTTATCCACGGCGGGCGGTTCCGGCGTCCAAAACGGTGGGACGCTGGGCCGCCGTATGGGGTGGCGTGTGTTTCACCGCGTGTCGGGCCACTGCCGTGAACGGGCGGGCTCAACTGCGGATGTTGGCGAAGGAACGGCCAGTCTGCTGGGTGCTAGAAAGTTGACTACCAATTGTTCAGCCGCCGCTCCTGCTTCTGTTGTGGAAAAACCGAATCTTCGTGTGATAATCTGAGCGCGCTTAGCATCTTTGATGCGTTGGCGGGCTGCGCGAAGTACCGTTCTGCGAGTTGCAATGTTGCCTCTGACAAAATGCCTGTGGGCGGCCCAATAGGCCTTCTGGCTGCGCAGCTGGTTGGGTTCACAAATGGGGATGGGGCGACAGGCTGCCCCTCCAAACCGCACATCGCACGCGATCCAAACACGGCAGCCGTCAAGAGTATAATGGGTAGCCCACCCGCCCAAATGAAGAGAGCGCGGCAGCGTGGCGTCTGAGGCGGAGTAAAACGGCAGCCTTGCCGACAGCCCCTTCTAGGCAAGCGCCTCGGCATTGCGACAAACAATCTCACGTGCCAAACGTTACTTCACCAAGGTTTTACCCCCCAGGCCCGCAGGTAGTGGACCACCTCAGGCGGCGTAACCGCAGTTCGCGTGAAGGACCGTGACCGGTGGCGCATTGTCACCGAGGTCTTGGCTCGGAGGGGCGGTGTTCGTCAAAGAAACCCCTCCCTGCCGGACAGAAAGCGCCCGGCCAAGACGCGATGCCGGGCTAATCCGGAAGGGGCAATGCGGCTGCGGCCGCCCCGAGCCCATTTTCCGCCTCCTGGGCCCGGTAACAGCGCTGATTTCCTCCCAAAACACGTGCGGAGACGCCGCCACCATGGGGCGCCCGATCCAAACCGAGGCGCGGAAAAGAGTTTGAACCAAAAACGCTCTCCCTTGCTCATAGTGGCGTGGCCCCCTCAAACAGAACGCGCGCCTATTCCTGCTGACCCTCCGCCTCCATCTCCAGAAAGACCTGCTTCCTCTTCCTGGACCCACCAGCGTTCCACCGGGTGACCCGCATGGCAGATCTGGATCCAATTCCACACCCGCATGGCCACATAAGCCGCCACCTGCGCGTTCTCAGCGCGAGAGGGAGGCCTCTACACATCGGCAAGCGCGGCCGTTGGGGTGGAAATACGCCGCTTTGCACCGGACCTCCATAACACGGTACCACTTAACGCGTGCCCGGCGCCAACATTAACAACAGCGAGTCAAAGTGTCTAATTGCTGGCTCTCAGTTTTTCTCTACGCAAAGGCAACGGCTTCGGCACACGACGGGCGGCCAGCTACGCCAGGAAGGTAGGAAATATTTTTTTTAATAGATTTTTATTACGGGCGAGTTGGCTGCTGCCTTCTTGGCGCCCGAGAAAAGGAAAGTTCAACTGAAGCTAACTGCAAGGGGAAGGTGGCGTTATATAAAACTTGACGTCAGAGCTGTCCTGCGCGCCCGCCATGTTCATGTTCTCTGCAAAATGCGTCGAGGGAATGCGAAGCCGCGGGCGCCGCGTCGCGAAGAAGAGCTCTCGCCGAAACAGGCAGGCTGCGCCGGGAACCGGCGCTTCTAAAACATTTCCGTTACCCAAAGCGGCCATGGCCGCCGGGCATCCGCCGCAGCAGGCGGGGCGGCCGGGCGGTACCCCCTACCAGCCAGCGCGCAACGCTACGCACCCCCCCTTTCTCACCAACCGAAACGACTACAGGGTAAAGCACCAGCCCTGCACCAGCAGTGCGAAAATGAGGGGTGCTATCCTTTTTTTTTTCGCCCGCGCCGCAGGCGAAGCGGCGGTGGGGCGCCGGCACGGGTGGTGCCCCTCGGGCGCAGGGGGCGGGAGCCCCGAAGGGGGCGGCGAAGCGCCGCGCCACAAGTCGAAAACACGGAAGTCCGGAGGAACGGCTGCAGAAGAGCCGGGCGCACGCAATGATACAGGCTTCGTCGCTGGTTCCTGCGGCGGGGGCGCAGTCCGGGCGCGCTCGAATGCTATCGACGACCGGGAAGGCGGTGGCAGAATTCGGCCCCAAAAGGCCTGCGTGGATGCCCTTTGGGCTGTCTGGGCCTCGAGGGTGTTTCAGATAC